CCACCCCCCCTCTCTCTGTCTACCTACCCTTCCCATCATTTTCCAATCCCCCAAACGGGACTCCAGCCCAGTCCCCACCCAGGACTCCAGCCCATCCCCGCCCCGTTCCCTCCCGAGACCCCCGCGGGCCCCCACCTTCCGCCTGCCCCTGGGCCACTTTCCGAAAGACTTCCTGGAGCCTCCTGCTAGACCCGCTGAGGTTTTTCCACCAGAGGCTCCTCCTGCCCACCCCCTCACCCGTCACGTGAGCCGCAGACTTGCCTCCCTGCGGGGAGCAGGCCTCCGGCTCGTTCCTATCAGGGGCAGGGTTGGGACGGCCCGCCGCTTTGTTCCTGGAAACCGGCGTGTGTACCAGGGCGCTGGGTGGGTAGCTGGCCTGCTTGGCCTGCATCCAGGTACCCCTGCTTGGGGAGGCTGCTTTGGCCACCTGGAACTGTTCCCTCACTCGGAGCCATCTCTCCCCCTCCCTTTGCTTACACCCCGTGTTCTGGAAGCTGGAAGGACCTGGGGAGCTAAGGCAGGGTCTTTTTCTTTCTCCATACCTGGGACTTGCCAAAGCCTCCCTTTCCTGGAGAGGGGCGCTCAGGGGCTCAGTACATGGCAACCCTGGTTCCTCCATGTTCTTAGGCCAAACCCTTTGGGGGTCCTCTTCCTCGGGTGGCCCAACCCTGCAGCTATGCTGTGTCTTTCCTCTTGTATCACCTCCACTCAAGTGTCCCAGCCCCATCCCCCTCCATCTAGCACACCTGACACCTGCCTGCCAATACAGCAGCTCTTAACTGGCCCCCTCCCCACTGCCCCGGCTCCCACCCCCATGCCAAACCCCCAATTCAGCAGTCAGAACTTGTTCCAAATGCTGTCGTTTCTCTGTTCACGACCCTCCAAAGGGCTTCCCATCACTGGGAATAGAATTCAGAGCCCCCCCTTCCGCCCATGGCGACAGCCCCCAAGTTCCTGTCTCCCACTTGGCTCAACCACTTGGCTTCTTTGCTGCCCCCCAATACACGAAACTCATTCGCACCCCAGGGCCTTTGCCTGGGCTGCCTCCTCTTCCTGGAATGTGTGCATTGCTGCTGCTTTCACTTCCCTGAGTCTCTACCCAAATGTTACCTTATCAGAGCCTTTCCCTATCCTTGCCCCATCTAAGTACCACTCCCACCCCATAATCACCCCGTCTACCCCTCTACGAAACTTCCCTTACCTTCCGTGCACTGTTGGCCACCTTTATATATTATATAGTTAATTGTTTGTGTGTTTGTCACCCGTCTCCCCACATACACACATGAATGTAAACTCCAGGAGAGTGGGACGGGTTTATTTTCTCCTGTATCACTGGGCATACATTCTGGCATACAGCCTCCACTCAGTAACTTGAGTGAGTGAGTGAGTGAGTGAGTGAGGCAGGACCAGTAGCGAAGGAGCTTGGCTTTGGAGCTGGACCCCACAGCGCTGCTTTGAGACTTCTGGTAGTGCAGCCTGCATGAGTTACTTGGCCTGCCTGTGTCTCATCCTTGCGCGGGACGTAGGGTTCCATTTCTCAGCATGGTGATACTGCAGACATGCACCACGCTGGAGAGGGTCTGTAAATGGGGATGCACCTCGCCCCTCCTCGGCACCCTCACCTCAAGGTCACCTGGTGGTCTCCACCAGGCGGTCCAGATGGAGGAACTGGGGCAGAGGTCATGGGGCTTCAGCCAGTGACGCTGGGCCGTTCCGCCCCCCGTTTTGCCAAGTGCGTCTGAGGGGCAGAAGGAAGGAGGTGCAGCCCTTGGGTTGTTAATGTTTGTGAAAAGAAACATCAGCCCGTGAGTTTCTGGCTGGAAATGAGACGTCGTTCGCTTTCCCTACAAGTCGGCGTTTGAGACAGTTCTAGTGGGTTTTCCCAGTGGTCCCAGAACCAAAAAGATTCACAAGAATCACACCCAGGGAAGAGATGGGGACTCAGCCCGGTTGTCACACTTGGTTTCTGAGCACCTTCTCTTGGCAGGTGGTGGTGGTATCGGGTTTTGAGGGGGGTGCCTTCTATCCTTGGGGGTCTGAGGCATCCATCAGAGAGGGAGACGTGTGTCTCAGCGACTGGAAAAGAGGAGATCTATTGGGAACTATTGGGGTGTCGGAAAAGTCATGACGCATTTTTTGCAACAAAAAACAGAAAAGATACGTCATGACTTTCCCGACAACCCAATAAAAAGAGACGTGCACACGGGTGTTTACAACAGCTTTATTCCTAATTGACAAAACTTGCCACCAAGATGCCCTTCAGTAGGTGAATGGATAAGTGAACCGTGGAACATTCAGACTGGGACGTTATGCAGGATTAAGCAGAAATGAGCTATCAAGGCAATGAAAAGACATGGAGGAAATGTAAACACGTATGACTAAGTGAAAGATGCCCATCTGAAAAGGCTAATACATGTTGTGTGATTCCAACTATATGACACCCCGGAAAGGCCAAATGATGGAGACAGCGGTGCCAGTGGTTGGGGGAAGGAGGGATGAATAGACAACACAGAGGATTTTTAGGGCAGAGACACCACTCTATGATACTGCAAATGGTGGATACGTGTCATTACACATCTGTCCAAACCTAAAGAACGTACAACTCCCAAGAGTGAACCCTAATGAGAACTGTGGACTTCGGGTGACGATGACGTGTCAGTGTAGGTCTATCAGTTGTAACAAATGTCCCACTCTGGTGCTAATGTTGATATTGGGGGAGGCTGTGCAGGTGGGGGGGGGGTCGGGGGTGTGTGTGGGAAATCTCTACCTCCTACTCAGTTTTGTTGTGAACTTACAACTGCTCTAAAAAATAAAGCCTATTAATGAAACATTTTTTAAAATTAGGGATAGGGTTGGGACGCGAGTGTCTGTGGGGATGAAGGGCGTTTTGCCTGAATGCCTCTCCGGTAAAGACACATTTGAGCAGAGCCTGTAAGAAGAGAGGGCGTGGGGAGAGGGCCGCTTGAGGGAATAGGACAGACAACAGCTCTGCAAAGGCCCTGAGAGATGGGCATGGCCAAAGGCCCTGAGAGATGGGCATGGCCAAAGGCCCTGAGAGATGGGCATGGCTGGGCTGGGCGGGAAAGGGCTGAGGGCAGAGAGCTGGAGCCCATCAGATCAGAGCGGGTCATGGTGAACACTGCAGACTTCACTCTGGGTGAAATGGGGGCCATTGGGAGTTGTGAGCACAGTGACAAGGCCTGACTTAACGTTCTAGAAGGATCTCTCTGTGGTGAGAATTGACTGAGGCAGAGGAAAGGGCACCGGGGCAAGGATCGAAGCAGGGAGACCAGTTTAGGCCGTTGCTGTGGTCCAGGTGAGAGGTGATGGGGGCTGGGCCCGGGGTTGCCGCCACAGAGAAGGCGAGAGGCGATCAGCTCCTGGATTCCAGAGGTCGGACAGATGGGTTGGGTGTAGCGTCAGAGAAAACAATCAATGTGGAACAGGGAGAGTGTTCAGGGAGGAAAAGGAACTGGGCCTCTCCTGTCCTCATCAGCCCTCCCTCTGCCTCTAAAGGCGCCCAGGAGGGGCGAGAGCCATCGCTGCAAATGGTCAGCAAGACTGTGCGCTGCCCCTCGTGGCAGGGCAGTGGCGCGCCTTCCTTCCCTGGGAGGTGGACACCTCGCCATCCAGTCCTTATCATGTGGCATGTGCTCGGTGACACCTGTGCAGTGAATGGATCTGCCTTTTTATGGGGTCACCTTGCTTCTACAGGTGGAGCACAGTGGCTGAGGGCACAGGTTGGGCATCAGACCGAGCAGGTTGGAGTTTGGCCCCCACACCTGCTGAGTAACCTTGGGTGTATCGCATAGCCCCTCCGTGCCTGTTTTCTCATGTACGAATCGGGTACAATATCTCCCTCCTGCAGCTGTCAGGACCAGGTGAGAGGCTGCTGCTGGTGCAGACAGGTAGTGAGTGCTCGCGGATATCCCTGTGACTCCCAAGGGGCGGGGTCCAGGCTGGACGTCGTCGGCTGGCAGGGAGGAAGTCTCTGTCCAGCCCCAGGCTGTGGTCAGGGACCTGCAGGAGGAAGACAGCACTGGCTGATCTATCTGAGGAGCTTCATAACAGTCTCCTCCAACAGCTGCTGCAGCAGCAGCCGGAACATTCTCGGCAGGCCCCACCAGGGACGAAGCCAGTGCAAATCTACCACTCACGGCTGCGTGGGGAAGTCCTGCCTGTCGCGTGGGCAGCTCGCAGTGCAAGGACATGAAAGGGGAGACACACTGCAGCCTAACAGAGAGGCCCAGTGGTTTTGTCACCTCTGACCTGCTGGGGTAACAGGTCAGCGGTGGGACACAGGTAGTGACCCTGAAGCTGCACTAAGGGCAGGGTGCGGACAGGGGCATGTAGAGTTTGGGAACAGGTAGAAAGATTAGCAAGTCTGGAAATGTCTCCAGGCAGACCCCATCACTGTCATAGATTCTGAAGGGTTGTCTTTGGAAGAGGGGCTGGTAGGCATGTTGGATATGGGTGTGGGGTGACAGGCTGGCACTCCCAATTGGTGAGAGCGAGAGGCATCGATTGGGGTTTATTCTTAGGGGAAGAAACAACCTTCTGGGAAAAGAAAATGTGTTCTGGAGAGGAGAGTGCTGTGGATCAAGGGTGGTAGCATTGAAATTTTATTATTTTTTAGCATCAGAACCTTTGTAGAAATGACTGTTTTAGAAGCCTAATACCAGTGCCACTGCTCTGGATGACCTGGGACCCTATCTACAAGCCCCGTCCCTCAGCAGCCCCTAGAGGTCCTCACTGGAACCCCTAGGACTCCCCAGAGCTCAGTGTGAAAACTTCTTACTGAGAAGTCCTCGTAACGGATGACCTGCAGCCCACTCGGCAGTCGGGCAGTTTTGATGCCGTCTCCGCCTTCCTGGGCCAGGCGTGTGGATGGAGGAGGGCCTACTAAGACAGCTGGAAGGATGGGAACGTAGAGGTCTCTTAAGAGTCTGTGGTTCTGCCCCAGTCACGGCTGTGTCTAGAGGCAGAGAGGCCCCAGTTAGCATCTTCCAGACATCCGTTACCCCAATGACTCCAGTTTTCAGGGGGATAGTGAGGTCTTCTGCAAGCAAGGAGGGGATCTATTTCTGTTCCTGGGTTAATAATAATCATAAGCAGTAATTATAGTTAGCGTTTATTGTGTTCTTTCTTCATCCTCCAAACCACCCTTCAAAGTGGGTGCTTTAATAACCTTAATTTATAGAGCGGTTAAGTGGGTTTTCCAAGTTCGTGTAACACATTGAGCTCAGGCAGTTCAGCTCCTGAGCCTGCGTTCTAGGCCATTCTACTCGAGAGAGGGGGGTCTCTTTTTGGACACGGACAGGGGTGGGAAAAAGGAGAGAGCTCAAGATTTAACCGACAGGACGCACGTACCTATGAAGAGTGTGTGTCCATGTTTCCAGTATCACCTGCCCACACACGCACACCCACTCACCCAGTTCTCGTTGGCACCACCCCTGCTCTAAATCTGGAGGGTTACACACTCAATTTTGTTGCTTGCCTGTTCTCATCTGGCCACAAGGATGGATTTTTATTAACATCCTCTAACTGGAGGTGCTGGGTGGAGAGCTGTGCACCCTCCAAATTGGGACCTTCCCAGCCCCCGCCCACCCTGCGCGTGGTTTGGGGTCTCTGGTGGGTATTTTCTTTCCTTTGGAGAAGCCAGCTCAGCACCGCGCTGGTCCAGAACACGGGGCCCCTGGGACATGAGCTGGCCTGCCAGACCTACCCAGGGACTTGGATCTTCCAGGGCTGCCAATTATAAACAGATGCTCCTCCTGGGACCCGCCCAGAGACCACCCGGCTCATGTCACTGGTAGGACTGTGCTCTGCAGCTGAACTCCAGCAGTGAACACCACCAAGTCCAGGCATTAGCGAGAGCCCCTGGGCGAGGGAGGCAAGGCTGGGCGGAGAAGAGCCTGATCTCTGGTCTGCAGATTTGTCTAGAGGCCTCCTGGGGTCACAGTGCCATGTGACCACGTTCGTTGGGCTCTCCTGTGTCTGGCCCATGCTGGGTGCTGAGGTGAGGTGGGTAGGATTCTCCGGAGGACTTCACAGGCTTGTCTGGGAAGCATGGGTACTCACAAACAGGCCCCAGCACGCTGGCATCTATGCGCTAGTGGAGGTACGAATGAGGTATTGGCGGTTGGGAAGGTGACTTCTGAATCACACTGCTCTGCTCATTGTGAGCAGTATGGCCTTGGGCAAGTCACTTTCCCTGTCTAAACCTCACGGATCACATCGAGAGAGTAACCATACCCACTGATGGGATTGTGAGGTCGGAAGGAGCAAACACAGCACCCAGCCCACAGCAAGTGACCAGTAGATGTTAGCCATTGTATAGTGTTGTAGGGAGGATAGAAGGACCAGCCAGAGAAGCTTCAGAACTGAAGGGGCATTCACACAGGGTCCTGCGGGATGAATAGGAGTCTACCAGTAGACTTGGCATTTAAAACATAGAAAAACAGCCTGTTCTGGGCACTAGGCTAGGGTCACAGGGAACTTAAAATGGGTGAGAGTTCATCCCTGCCTTCCGAGAGACAGGATGTAGATTCGAAATGGCGAGGACAGCACACACAGGGCCAAGTGCCGTATATAATGAGTGAGTGTAAGCCGGGAACTCCAGAGGCCCAGCAAGCTCCCTCACTCAGTCACTCCACAAATGGGGAGCGAGGTGCAAATAGTCACCTCACACTGGATCGGCGCCCTGAAAAGAGGCACTTCCAGGGGGCTGGGGAGCAGCGGGGATTGGACCCACCGTGCTGCGTTACCTGTGTGTACATGATCTGTGGGGAAGCTTAGTTCTGCCTTCCGTTCTTAAGATCATAAATAATGGTCCTTGTCCTTTAGAGGCATTTCTCCCTATAGGACAAGCATAAGGAAGCAAACGACAGTCGGCCAGGATTCCACCCTGTTCCTATGCTGCTGGGTGACTTCCATTAACTGGTTACATTTTGAGAGTGGAGATTACCCTACAGGGATGATGCTGCACCCGTTTTTCTGAACGTTACATCCCTGAGCATTTTTCCATGTCATGAATACGCATCATTCTAAAGGCTGTACAGGAGGCTACAGTAAGGGGCTGTGCTGTGCTTTTCTCAGCTCTTCCTCCCGATGGAAATAATAATGAGCGCACGTACCGAACACTCAGTGGGTGCCAGCGCCTGTGTGCTGAATCCCCACAAGACCCCATGGAGAGAGGAAATAGTTTTTCTTCTACTGGGAGAGGGAATGGTGGGGAAAAAAAGCCAACAACAACAAACAGAAGACTTCGGTTCAAATCCCAGCTCTGTCACTCAGTTGCTGTGTGACCTCAGATAAGTTGCTTAGCCCCTCTGAGCTGCAGTTTCCTTATTATACAATGGATGTAATATAGAAACCTCGTATATCTCCCAATTTCATTGACGTTCCACGTGTACTCTTTATCCCATGCACATTAATTTGTGTCTGACTGTTTGCTCATTCCTTCGTGTCTTCTCCCACTGGAACACGGGCTCCCCGAGGCAGGAACCATGTCTGTTTTGTTCTCTGTTGGATCCCAGCACTGGGCACAGCGCCCAGCCCACAGCTGGCCCTCTGCGGCCCTGGTGAGCAGATGGATGGGATTGCTGAGAACATGGAGCGAGATGAAGCAGGAGAAGGATTGGGTGGAAACGAACGCTGTCCAAGGACACATGGGATCTGGGAGCAGAATTCTCAAAGCTCAGAACATCCCACCATGCCTCGGGGCTCGGGGGGCGGGGCATCTGTGGAAGACAAAGGCTCTGGGTTCAAATCCTGCCACCACCACCCACTGAGTGTGACTGGGCAAATTACTTAGCTCCTTCGAACCACAGTCTCCTTAAAGTGGATAATAATAGCCTTCAACTTTGGGGGCTGCACAGGGGTTCAGGCTCATGGTTGCCTCTGTGAGGGGGGCTCTGAGGGAGACAAGGGCAGGAACTGTGTGTTTGCTAGGAAGCCCTCGCTGGGCAGGGCGGCCATGGCCAGTGTGGGCCCACCTCCTCGGGAGGCCACATATCATCCCACCTCCTTGCCCGTCATGAGGCGCAGGAGGACAGAAGCTAACCGTTTGCCCCAGAGGGGAGAGAGGCCAGCAGGTGCTGAGCTACCCTGAGCCCTTACTTTACAACCTCAGCTTAAGAGTAAATCCCGGGCCGCTGACCCTCCCCAGCTGCTCCCTGTCATGGGAGTTAATTAAGAGGAGGCTGTATTGGGTTCCAGGGGATCATAAGTCCGCCCCCTCCCCAGCCTGCCTATCCCACGCTCCTCTCAGACCCCTGCCTCCTGCCTGCCCAGTCCTCACCCTCATGTCCGCACTGGGTTCTGCCTGCTGTCCAGAGTCAACCCCAGGTGACTCGGGACAGGGGCCACCTGAGCAGGCCTGCTGAGCTGTACCTGCCACTTCCCTGACTCTCGGTCCCCAGAGGGGTCTGAGCAGGGGACGGGAGGAGGAGGAGAAGCCAAGAAGGGACAGTGGCTGCAGTAGCTCCAACCATTCCCTTCACTCAGCTCTCTCCCTCACCTCCCATCCCCAGGGGACTAGCCCCTGGCCACCCCATCGCCATGGAGATGCACCCTGGTCCTAAATGGGGGCATGCCCAGGCTGGCTCTCGGGGACTCTGAGCATCTACCAAGGGCCTGAGGAAACGCACAGCAGTGCAAAGGCTGTACACACACACTCAGAGAGAGAGACACACAGGTACACACAGACGTACACATGCACACACACTCACACACACAGCGAGGCACACACGTACCCACCTGAGCTTCATTTCCATCTGAGGCTAACTGCTTGCTTGGCTTCAAGGGTCCCAGCCTCTGACCTGGCTCCCGACCTCACAGTCAGCCCCAGGGTGGTTTTGAGGCTCTGGGGAGCCCCCAGGTCTCGCTGACTCTTGGTCTAAGTAGAGTCTGTGTTCAGTGTCCTGGGACCCTAAATGGATCAGTCACAGAAGATGGGATGGTCTCAGCCTTAGGCCATTTAACCACTTCCCACCCCATCCCACCCGTGATCCTGAACTTTCATTTGTTCACTCAACAAACAGCACATGCTGAGCACTGGGGTGTGAAAATGAACAGGGCAGGATCGGGGCCCTCAGGGCTCCTAGCCCAGTGGGGTTGGGGTGAAGAAGGAGAAGGCAAACCTGTCACAGAGCCCAGGAGGAGGTGGGGCTCTGAACATGGAGGTGAGGAGGCCAGTCCCCCAGCCACCAGGAGCGTCCTCCACAGACCCCTGAAAGGAAATGGCTAAGCCTCAGAGTCCAGCCTGGGTGTGCGCCCATGAAAGGCAGTGGGGCACAGCCTTCCCTTCGCCTCCCTTACCCCAGCCCGTGTCTCTCTCCAGCTTGTCCTTCCAGCCGGGTGGCCCGTGCTGGCCTCCCTGGTACCCTGACATATAGTTTCCTGGGCAGACCTCAGTGGGGCCTTAGACCGCTGCCCTCATTGCCCGACCTGAGAAGTGGGGGGCCAGAGAGTTAGTCAATCTGGGCCAGGAGCCCCTGGGCCCTTGGTGCCCCTTCTGCTGGAACCCCATGCACACCTATTTGTGCTGAGAACCCAGGGTCCCCAGAATGAAGGGCACGTACATGGGCTGCTGCTCCAGACCCTCTGAGGTGACCATTTGTGCTCCCAGATGTCTGGACTCCTGCACCTTTCAACAAGCCCCCCACTTTAAGCGTTCCCTCTCTGTCAATTTGTCCAGAAATTCTCAGAGTCCCCAGAGGCACCTCTCTCTGCCTCGCCAGACTCCAGGGAACCATGCGAGCCCCAGTGTCCTGTTTTCCATATGAGCTGGAGGTGGGATGGGGTTGAGTAGTGACCAGAGCAGGAGAAAGAGGCCATGGATTACCTTCCACTCAGGCGGCCATACTCAGAAGCTAGATGGTTGGATGGATGGATGGATGGATGGATGGATGGATGGATGGATGGATGAAAAGAAAGAAGGGAGGGAAAGAGGGAGGAAAGAAGGAAGGTTGGTTAGGGTAGATGAATGGATGGGTGGAAGGAAGGAAGAGGAGAATATAAGTAGGTGGATGGTGGATGGGTGTGTGGATGAATGGATGGATGGATGGATGGATGGATGGATGAATGGATGGATGGATGGATGAATGGATGGTTGAGAGGAAGGATGGGTGGACAGACAGATGGGATGATAAGGAAGGATGGAAGGAAACTTGGCTAACAGTGACTACAAGGCAAGGGTGAGGTCTGGTGGAGTGGAGGACGCCCCCACCAAATTGCCTTCCTAGACCAGATGTTTGTCTCTTTTCTTCTTTAAGGGACTCTCCCCAGCCTCTCCTAGAGGAACACATGCTAGGCCCGTTTTTAGGTCCCCAGACAAAAAACTGCCCCTTGAAGCCTGTCTAATTTCAGTCCGTTTGCCCTTGATGGACTTCCGTGGTCATGGAGTGCCACTGATGGAGTCTTCTCCCTCAAAACCCTTCCTGTATTTCAAGACTTCAATTAAAATGAGTGGTTGGACGAGGTGGGTTTTCAAACTGCGCTTTCCCAGAGATGTTTCAGCGGTTGAGAAAACTTTTATTTTCTTTTTAAAACTATTCCAAAAGTTTTTAAAACTCTATTAAAAAAATCAAATGCACTGGAGACCACCAGCACCTTTTTGTGTCCTATCAGCTATACCTATTTGGGCCCTTTCTGCATAAGTGAAATTTCTGAGATTTCAAGGTAAACAGTTGATAAACTGTTACTACCAACAACTGCTTATCGGTGTGACTTTTCTCTCTACCGAGTCACAAAGCAAAATACAGACATCAGTTGGATTCTGGTCTGGTGTGATTGGCGCTCCATCTGTAAACTCCCACTTTGAAAAGTTTGCCTTCCCAAACAGCCTTTTCTGTTCTCATTAGTTGCTTTCAGAGCAAGAAAATATGGACTTGGACATGTAGTTTATTCCTTGTACTGGATTCACACATTGGGGTTTCCATGTTGGGTTTTATTTTCAAAAGAGAAATTTCACTGATAATTTTAAAAAGAGAAGAAATAAAAATAGAAACCCATTAGACTAATCCCCAAGGAGTCTTTTATCGCCTCCTTTCTCTGATCGTCCCCAGCCCTGGCCCTGCCTCCCTGTGTGCTGATGAAGCTGAATCTTAGTTAGGTTTCTGAGTCTCCGTTGCCCCCCGACCCTGACCCCCTGGCTTCTGACCCTTTTACCAACAGGGACTTCTCTGGACCCAACGACACATCATGGGGAGGTGTGTCGTTCTCGCTTAGGTCAAGGTTGAGAATTAGCCAGGCTTATCTGCTGAGCCCTCACAGTCGGCCATTCATAAATTTGTCCAACCCCTTTAAGAATCCATTTCTTGGTCCTGCCAGGCTCATCTGCTGGCATAATGAATCCCGAGTTTATTACCTGTGGGTGAGGCAGTTTCCTTCTCAGCGGGAGCCTGGCTGCCTCTCTTCCTGGCCTTCCTTCCAAGTGTGACTGAGCGTGACCACAGCTAGGTGGCCAGAACCTCCCAGTGCGATCTAACCGCTAGTGTTCATAAACCTGGCTCCAGACCTCATAGTTGAGAAGGCCAGTTTGTTCCTGAGAACATTCCGGAACATCGTATGAAAGAGCTCTGCTATTGCTTCTAACTATGTAGGAAAACCGGAATTGGGCTGGCAGGAGGTGTCCTGCTGGAAGGAATGTATAAGAAAGACTTGTAAATAACATGTCACTCGATTGGCCAGAAATGGGCTCAGAAACTACTGGTTCACTTCAGAGTAGGCTGTATCCCTTTAAAAAAAAAAAATCACATTGTTAATTTGCTTTGCATGCTGTCTTTGGATGGAATCAGAGAGTCCAGTCCTTGGGCAAATTACTATAAATACTGACTTTCGGATGGTGCTCATTGATTCGCAATGGCTGACGTAGTGACCACCTGTTCAGTGGGGTTATTCTCTCCTTCCAGATCGTTCTCTGGGGCCGGACTGAGAAATGCCTGAAGGAGACGACAGAGGAAATTCGGCAGATGGGCACTGAGTGCCACTACTTCATCTGTGACGTGGGCAACCGGGAGGAGGTGTACCAGACGGCCAAAGCTGTCCGGGAGAAGGTAAGTCCTCTGGGAGGGTCCGTCCTAGCTCAGCAGGACACAGGAATGCCAGCCAGAAAGAACATTCTCATGTGGCCTGGGAGAGAGGGGTGCTTATGGCAGAATGGCTGTTTCCAGGCCATCTCTGGGGACTCTCCTGTGAAGCTGGCCCAGGGTGTGTGTGTGTGTGTGTGTGTGTGTGTGTGTGTGTGTGTGTGTGTTTTGCAGGGGTGAGGGATTCGGGGTGTGGGTTGATTATATAACAGGAGTAATCACCTGTTGTCCCCTTTGGAAGTTTTGACCTTGTGAGTTTCTATCCTAGACCCTGGGGGACAAATATCCTGTTGCCCTCTGGGAAAATCCTTCTCCTGACTCCAGTCATCTATTTAGACCGAGTGTCTCAGTGAGCTCCAAGAGAGCAAAAAAGCCCTGTTAAGTATAGTGTTCTGGCACATGGTAAATGTTAACAATTTTTATGTGACAATAACCTCATTTATTAGAAATGTGCTCTGTGCCGTAAATTATTTCTAATCCTCAGAACAACCCTGGTCATTAGCTCCATCTTACGAATCGAGGCTGATGCTCAGAGAGGCAGTGTGGCCGCCCAAGGCCACAGGTCCTGCCCCGACAGGTGCAGGCCACTGGGGCTGGCTGCCCTAACGGCCCTGCGGCCCCTCTCACCCACAGGTGGGTGACATCACCATCCTGGTGAACAATGCCGCCGTGGTCCACGGGAAGAGCCTGATGGACAGTGACGATGACGCCCTGCTCAAATCCCAGCACATCAACACCCTGGGCCAGTTCTGGGTAAGGGCTCACCTGGGCCAGCTCCTGCCCCAGGAGGGACAATGACATGTCCCTTCTCTCCAGGGAGCCTGGATGCTGTAAGGGAGGTAGGAAAGGCTCACCGGGACTTGGGCTCAGGCCAGGGGGGGAAAGTCAAAGGCGGGGGTGCCGGACAGGAGGTCCCAGGAGGCATCTGGACTCAGGGTCCTGCAGCAGGCAGCCCTCGGCCCCTCCTGTGCCAGGAAGGCTGGGTCACTGGAGCAGTGCGTGTGTCCAGGGTGGTCTGTTCTCCCTGAGAGAGGGTAGAAGGGCTTTTGGAAGCTATGGCTGCTCCACACTGACCTCCCCGCCCACCCTCAGACCACCAAGGCCTTCTTGCCGCGCATGCTGGAGCTGCAGAATGGGCACATCGTGTGTCTCAACTCCGTGCTGGCACTGTCTGCCATCCCCGGCGCCATCGACTACTGCACGTCCAAAGCCTCGGCCTTCGCCTTCATGGAGAGCCTGACCCTGGGGCTGCTGGACTGTCCGGGCGTCAGCGCCACCACTGTGTTGCCCTTCCACACCAGCACCGAGATGTTCCAGGGCATGAGGGTCAGGTCAGTGAGCAGGGGACCCGCCTCCTGAGCCAAGTCCCACCAGCAGAACGGACCAGGGGAGAGGAAACAAAACATAAAAATAACCCAGAGCCCTTTGTCGTTGGCTTTGAGGTCTGGTACCTGGTTCTCCATCTGCAAGACACTGGGAAGCTATAGTGGTTTGGGGTCCTGCTGCTCAGGTCAGGGAGCTTCGACAAAGTATGGGTGCAGAGTACCAATGCACGCAGTGGAAAACTACCCAGTATACAAAAAGAACAGAGTGTCGATACACAAGCAACATGGATGAATCTCAACAGCATTGTGTTGAGGAAAAGAAGCTAGATATCAGAGCGTGCATTTTGTGTGATTCCATTTGTATGGAGTTCTAGAACAGGCAAAGCTGGGCGCAGACGGCAGAACAGTGGCTACCCTTGAAAGGGTGGGGATTGATATAGCCTGGGAAGGAATACGAGGGAACTTTCTAGGCTTTAGAAAAGTCCTGTCTTCTTGATCAGGGTTGTGGTTAATAGAGAAACATTAATCACACTGTACACTTAAGATTTCTGCCTTTGATTGTCTGCAGATTATAGCTCAATTTAAAGAAATACTGAAGCCCAACCACCACTCCCCCAAGCCAGTTAAACCAACCAGCATGAAGTCCAATGGTTTAGAGTGGAACCAGGCACAAGGGGCGCCAGCTTACCTGTACCTATAATGTACTAGGTCCCATTAGTTTCCTCGCCGGCCTCCATCGCTAATCTATAAAATGGGGCAAAGAGAATGTCTAGACCTAGGGCTCTGTGATCAGGATAAAGTGAGACCTAGCATGGAACACTGTGTGAGCTCCATAGTAAGTGCCCAGTAAATGGTGCTATAATGATGTGCAGTGGTGAAGGGGCATAGGTAATAAATGAAAATAGGGAATAATCCCCAAACTGTATTTCTTGTTTGATGCAATGCAGCAAATAATAATAGATTTGACTTCTGCATTATATGCATCAGCTTCTTCCAAACATGGGAATGACAGGGGAGGGTCGTCATGAAGATGTGAGACAGGTGGTGGAAGGAATTCAGGCTGTGCGTGCCATGTGGGAACCACTCGGGACCACTTAGCTGTGATTACTATGTGTGGTTTGAGTGACCAAGAATCAAAACGCCTGGTTGAGGATCACCCCTCAGCTGCTGTACAGTTGCGAAATCTTGAGCCAATTGTGTTGCTTTGCTCATCTGTAAAATGGTGGAAATGATATTTTCTTCATGGGATTATTGGGAGAATTAACACGAACATGTGTAACACATCTAGAGCCGAGCCTGGGGCATACTAGACGCTCAGTAATGAACCACTGCTCATATTATTTTTACAAAGAATAAACGTCTTCATAAACACATATGGTATTAATCTTCCTAGCAGAACATATCTTCAGTGAGTCATAGAAATAAGTATACATTTCTACCTGACTCGCATGCAAATTAGCATAGATTTTGAAGGTAGAGGAGGCTAGATTAATACCCATTCATTATGCATGTTGGCTTTTGCCCCCATCAGGTCTTGGTTTGGTTTCTTTTCATCTGGGCATATAGGAGGTGCTCAATAAATGTATATTGACTGGAAGTGCAGCAGTAGCTAGCCACGGTTTTAATTAGACACTGACACAGAAGGAGGCGGGACATCTGCAGACCTCACATTTGTGAGTCTATTGTAGTTCACCTTCTAGCATAGTTTCCTCTCTACGACTTTAAGACGCAAAATTCAAGGTTTTCCTCAAGTTCTTTTTCCACAGTGGTGCTAAGTGTGGGCGCAAACTGCCCAGCTCCGTGTCACCTGGGGCAAGTCACTTAGCTTTTCTGTGCCTCGGTTTCCTCATCTACAGGAAGGGGTTGCTAACAGTACCCCCTGCTTCACAGGTGAGACACTCCTGTGTGAGAATCAGCTAGCCTGCCTGGCAAGTGGTAAGCTCTAGGCAAAGGTTACTTACCTGTGGTTGGACAGGTGAGCCCCGAGGGCTCGGGAGAAGAGTAGTAAAAGGATGATTGATGCTGAACCAACTCCTATTTCCTGAAAGAGGAAAAGCTCTGGCTTCGTCCCCATCCAGGCTTAGCAGCCTCCTAGGTTGAGGGTGGGAGACACATGTTTAAGACAAGAAGGATGGGTTTTCTGGCAAGAGTGGCCATGTAGGTGACTGCTGCTGTTTGTAAATTATTGTTGGATCTTCTTCTGTGTTCCAGCCATATCAGACGCTTTACAAACACCACCTCATTTGGCCCTAAGCAACCCTGTGAGAGAGCTCTTACCCCCAATTCACAGATGAAGGAACTGAGGCTCAGAGCAACCAAGTAACTTGCTCAAGGCCACACAGATAGAAGTTGGCTGTGCACGCTTTTCCCATGCGTTTGGGCAGCTCCGTGGGAGTTAATAGCTCTGTCGGCTCCCAGTGTACCCTTCCCACTGTAGAGGGAAAGGAGAAAGTCCTGTCCGCAGATGTGTCAGGTTCTCATAGAGCTTTGTTCTCTCCATCCTGTCTTCCCTTCCCCCAGTAGTAGGGCTGGCCCAGGTGGGGACTGGAGAACCAGACTGTCTGCCGCGTCTATAGGGCTCCAGCCTCAGTGAGCTGCCTCAACACGTTCATCTCTGCAGGACTCCGGAGGCTGCCTTCCAGACTGTGGGCTTGTGGGATCGTAGCAGCACATCGCGACAGCAAAGGAAGCACAGGGTGGGGGGTGAGATCCGTGGATTCTCTGAGGCCAACCAAGTCCGAGCTGGGGGCCCAGGAGTTGCCCTTTGCGCAGGGTGACATCAGACCCAGGTGACTCATCACCCTTAATCCTCATGGTGCCAGAGCAGCTCACAGGCCCTTTGTGGGATTGAGGTCAGAGCCAGCAGCATCAGCCCTGTGCCTGTAGGCCCCAGAGGGGTGGGACAAGCATCAGCGAGGGCGGGGACAGAGCACTAGCCTGGGGCTCCGGCAGGCCTGGTTGGAATCCCTCCTACCCCTCCAGACCCCCAGAGCCTCAGTTTCCTTCTCTGTAAATTGGAGTGAATGATTCCTGTTGAGCAGCTAGCACAGGCCTGGCACTCAGGGAGCTCCATCCCTGTAGGGGTCGTAAGTCAGATGCCTCTGAATAGGCACAAGAAGCCCATGATGTTTGCTTATTCAGTCATTCATTGCATCATTCGTTCCTCAACACCTCAGAAAGCACTCTGTAAATGTTTATAGGAATGAATGAATGAATCAATGAATCAATCAATGAGTAAACCAGCAGGCTGGGCAGAGACGGGCATTCCCGGCAGAGCCCCTGCTTCCAGACAGATGAGCAGGATACACTTGGGGAGTGGCAAGTGAGTCAGTGTTCGTTCATTCAGCAAGCATTTATTGAGCACCTACTATGTGCCAGGCACAGCACATGGAGGATACAACATGGAGCGAGACCGACCAAACCTCTGCCCGTGTGGAACTCACAGTCTGATGGGGCGACGGGGCATTAACAAGGGAACAAGCCAACAGGCAAGGACATTCTAGATGTGTAAGTGCAGTCAAGCAGGGGGACGAGATCAGAGGCCACCCTGAGGAGGAGCTGATAGGACAGCTGGTAAAAGGCCCTGAGATGGAAAAGAACTTAAGTGACAGGAACTGAAAGACTGGCCAGGATGGCTGGAGCAGAGCGGAAAGGGAAGAGAGGGCTCAGGCATCAGGCAGGGCCCCGAGTGAGCAGAGCCCTGGAGTGTGGGGAGCCCCGGGGGGGTGGGAGCAGGGCAGTGACACAGTCTCGGTGGCATGTTACAGGAGCCATCTGAAGTGCTCTGGAGATGGGGCCTGGGTGGCTGGATTCGAAGACCTCAGTTCTCAAGGGGAGACTCAGTGGCAGAACTGAGGGACTGAGGAACTTGTGACATGTCTAGCGCAGCAGGGGGCGGGGGGCAGAGAATGGCAAACAGGTCCCCCAATCTTATGTCTTCTCAAGAAGCCAAAGGGCTGCACCCAGACCTGACAGCCATGGAGGCTTTCTGCCGAAGCACCTGCTTCTGCAGGAGAAACCCACTGTGTGTCTCCCTGCATTCAGGTTCCCTAACCTCTTTCCCCCACTGAAGCCGGAGACGGTGGCCCGGAGGACGGTGGAAGCCGTGCGGCTCAACCAGGCCCTCCTCCTGCTCCCGTGGACGATGCATGCCCTCATTATCTTGAAAAGGTACGGGGCTCTCAGCTAGACTTTCCGACCATTTCCCCTTCTCCTGGTGGACCCTGGTGGGGAAGCGACCTCAGGCAGGAAAAAGTACACGTGGGACCGATTAGTCATATCTGCTGTGGGCACGATGACAAAGTGGCGGTTTGTGTGCCGAGGAGTTCCTGTCCTTCCAATGGGGCAGCGGTTCTCAAACTCAAACTCTCAGGACCCCTTTACGATCTTAAACATTATTGAGGAGCTCAAAGAGCTTTTGTTTATGTGAGTTGGATCTATTACTATCTACTGTCTTAGAAATTAAAACTGAGAAAGACTTTTAGAAGATTTCTACATGTGTATATATTTAAAATATTTATGCATTTATAAACAGCGGTAACAAATCCATTCCACGTTAACCATAAATGATTTTTTTATGAAAACTAAGTATAATTTTCAAAAAAGAAAGAGGAATGTAGTGAGAAGAATGGCATTGTTTTACATTTGTGCAAAGCTCTTTATTGTCTGACTTAATTGAAGACAACTGGATTCTTATATCTGCTTCTGATTTGAGTCTGTTGTGATGTCACATATCATGTGGCCTCCGGAAAACTCAACTGTGCACTCGTGAGAGAATGAGTGAAAAAGGCAGATAACATCTTGGTATTAGTATAAAAATCGTCTGACCTTGCAGACCATCGAAGAGATCTCAGGTACCTCCAAGGGTTCCTGGGCCACACTTTGAGAACCGCTGTTCTAGACACTAATAGTTGGCCCCAACCTTCAGGAAGTTTCATGGTGAAGACAGGGCTCTTGATGCCACAGGCTCGGGACTCACAGACACGTCACAGAGCTCCTCAGATGGGATTTACTGGGGTAGGCCACCTGGGAGGTGGGCTTTCTACAGGACATCCATCTCCTGAATTTACCCAGCATCACATTCCCTAGAACTGTCCAGACTTTGGGCAGCAAACCCTTCCCCTCCGGGTCCCACACTGAAGGGGCCGTGTCAGGTGCCTGCCTAAACATAGTTTTTGTGGGCCTCTCAGTGCTACAGGGAGACCTTCCGCCCTGGACTCATGAGTGACCATGGACTCTTGGTTCCTCTGGGCCCCCAGCCATCTCCAGTCCCCCATCCCCAGCTGATGGAACCCCTCTGACCAGGAGGCCCTTTTTGGGAAGTGAAGTACCCCACTTCACAGACATCCACTCCCAGGAAGCCAGGTTCGCCCCTGGCTGTGTGTCCATGGTGGGTTCCAGCTAAGGCGCCGATCCAACTGCGGGCACAGAAACACATAATCGATGGGACCCATCAATCAGTCCTTTCTCTTCCAAACTCAAAGCCCTTTTTCAGAGAGTGAGGGGATGGGGCTGGGGGCACCTGAGGGCATTTGGGCCACACCTAGGCCTCTCTTAGTCCATCCTGACTGTTGCTCTGAGATGCTCCTTGGCCATCTCCGAGAGCCCCTAGGAGAGCAGGGACTTGGGTCCTCACCAAAGCCAGGCTGCCACCTTGCACCTTAGGGAGCTTGTTAGAAGCCTTTCAGAATATTCCAGAAAAAAAACTAGTTTTGTCTAGAACAGCGGTTCTCAACCTGTGGGTCGCGACCCCCTTTGGGGGTCGAACGACCCTTTCACAGGGGTCACCTAAGACCATCGGAAAACAAAAAGATATTTACATTACGATTCATAACAGTAGCAAAATTACAGTTATAGAGTAGCAACGAAAATAATTTTATGGTTGGGGGTCGCCACAACATGAGGAACTGTATTAAGGGGGCGCGGCATTAGGAAGGTTGAGAACCGTTGGTCTAGAACATCTCAGCACTCTCACAGTAAGCCCCCAGTCTCCATTTCCTGTTCTGTCCCCTACGACTTTGCCACAGGAAGCAAAGGCCACCGTCTTCCCCATTTCCTGCACTGCACCCCCTCTTTACCTTCCCCAAGAGAAACCTTTACAGGCCCAACTCCAGTGCCACCACCTCCAGGAAGCCTTCCCCATCTCTCCGGCTGGAAGGGAGCCCTTCCCATCTAGCACCTAGAGTGGGCCAGAGTCCTTCGACTTGACTCAACAAATGGACTGAGGCCCTCTCATGCCGGACCCTGTGCTAGGGGCCAGGATCAGAGATGAAATGTCTGCCACAAGGCCCCCCAAGGAGCTTGACAAGTAAAGAGTGAGGACAACACCATGGCTTGTTGGGGAAGCACGGGACTATGGGGAGCCCAAGAAGAGGCCTGGGTGTGAGTGTGGGAAGATGTACCTAACTCCTCAGCCCCACACAGTCATTATTTGTTGAATAAGTGGCATTTGGAGACCATCGATCTCTGAGATACCTATGGGCCCTAAAATGCTAAGAATGTGGCTTTGAAAGTTTATTTCTACCACCCACCCTTTCCCTTGTAAATAGCCGTCTATCCACGTACTTGAAAGCCCTTCTTCCTCCATTGAGGTGGGGGGTGGCTTGTGGAATTGGAGATGGGGGGTGGGGAGAGCTTATGGGACCCATCCCTCCACTATGCCATCTTATGTGGCCACCAGGGACCCAGCCACCAGTCTCCCCTGCTGACCTTCTTTTCTCGCCCCCACACCCTCAGCATACTCCCACAGGCTGCACTCGAGGAGATTCACAGATTCTCAGGAACCTACACCTGCATGAACACTTTCAAAGGGCGAACATAAAGGCAGGATGCAGAGACACGCTCGAAAGCCGCGGAGCCTGAGGGGACCCTGGCACCTGGGCACACACCCACACGCCGTCTCTTGGCACACTTCTGCTGGGGGAGCAAGACTGCTCCTGTCCTGGAGAAGAATCTGTCTGCCCCTCAGGCCGGCCCCAGGACCTTTGCACAGGACCGATGGGCATAACTGACCCCCATGGGGAGGCAAGAAATCAGCCAGCAGCCACCTTACTACTTTTGTACATTTCTGATTCTGTAGTTTATTGTTAACTTGCTTCTCAAGTCTAACCAGCCTCAGCTATGTGCACAGACTATTTCTGGGAAGGTCTGTGCCCAGATACTCCTCCTGTCCCTCCAAAAATCCACTCATCCTCAGCTTATGCAAACTGGTTGAACGGCAGGAATGAAAAAATAAAGAGAGATGGCTTTTGCGAGTTCCTTTGCTGAAATCCTTGACCCCTGGTCTTTGGTGGGTAGTGGGGAGGGGACCACTCTCAAAACCCTGTTTTATGAAAGAGAATTGGTCTGCTCAGGGTCCCCAGCTGCCAGGAGTGGAATGGGCCAGAAGGGGACAGATGAGGAGAGAAATTGGACCTCAGGCCTGGGGGTATGTGGTTCCTTGCTGGCTCTGCAAGGCCTTGCCCAACAGCCATGGGTTAGGGGACCCTTTGCCTCCCCCCACCCACTTCCCTGGTGTAACCATTGTGAACCAAGCTGCGATGGCCGTCTCCTGCCCTGCCACGGCCCCACCAGCCACGAAGCCACCAGCTCAGGAGAGCAGAACCAGTCTTTACGGAGCACCCACTGTCTACCTTGCATGTGCCAGGTGCCGAGAGGAGAAGGCTGCTGAGAAGCAAAAACTCTGAAGACTGCCAGCATAACAAAGCCGGTGCTTAAGAGGGTGCCCCAGGCCCCCGCGCCAGGTTTGATGGCAGGGATAGACGTGAAATAAAGCAGAAGGGGGAGGCCTGGAATGGCAGAGGAGATCGACACAGGCTCAGTCAACAGGAAAAGTTACAGCCAAGGAGAAGTGGGGAGACGTGCCATGGTTCCCCCGGTGCGCGTTCCTCCTGCTGCAGCGTTCAATGTGCCTGACCTGGCGCACGGGGCACAGGTGGACTATGGAATCTCATCTAAGTAGCCTCTGTCTCCACAGCTCTTACGGGGGGTGGAGGATGCGGGGAGGGGAACAGGCAGTGAGGAGAAGGTCACTGGCCACAGATTCAATGGAGGAGCATCCTCAAGGGTTGCTTAAAGCCTGCATGTACACGCCACTCACGTGAAAAGAACATTAGTTGCACAGCCGGGACGACTGTCAATCTGGTCTGCGTACAGACACGCCAACCCAGGATTACAGCCCCTGTTAATTGAGCAACCTACCGAACCCTGCCAAGTCCCAAGGCAATTTCACTGATAATTATCCACCGCCCCCAGCAGCAGCCAAAGACCAAAAAACAGCTCTCAGGAACCCCTTTAGAGACTTCCAACAGCCACCATGTGTATCAGCCAGGATATGACCCCCGGGTCTCAATGGCTTCTAACAATAAAGGTTTGTCTTAACGATGGCCACCTGTCCTTCGAGGGTGACTGCAGCCCTGCTCTGGGTCATCTCCACTCTGGGACCCCGGGTGACAGAGGAGCCTCCGTCTGGGACGATGTCCTCTCGTGGCAGAGGTAGACTCACCTGGCCACCCGCACACTGGCTCTGAAAGTTTCTGCCTGGAAACAATGTAAGTCATTTCCGCTCGCATTTCATTGGCCAGAGCAGGTCATGTGGTCAAGTCTGCCAAGAAGGCAGCTGGGCAGAACAATCCCCTGTGGAGGAGTGGTCAGTAATTTTGAACTATAATACAAGCTGCCACACCGTGGAAGAAGATACCCATAAGAACATAAGGGAAAGTTAAAATGTAGGCAGAGGATGGAGGAGGCAGACAGATACTCTCCTGGGACCTGGTGACCGCTCAGTAGTCCACACCAGGGGCTGAGCACAGCGCCAAAGAGGCACTGACCTTTTTTTGCAGGGAAGAGGGTATGGGGGGGTGGTGGTATTGGAAAGACCACTTTGCAGGTGAGAAAACAGGCTCAGAGCAACAAAATTGCATACCCAGGTCGGTGGGGCGTGTGAGTGGCACAGCCAGAACTTGAACTCCACTCCACCGGACCCACAATCACTGTCACCTTTGTTTTGGTCCTTGAGGACATGAATGTGGGGGGTAGGAGGCAGAAAGCTGTTAAAGGGGCCCTCCTGGCACCCTGGCACCCTTGCCAAACTGGTGAGATCAGGCCGGGAGTGTCCATGGCCTGAGTGGGCATCACCCCACTTCGGCGTGTCTGGACAACAGGGACGGGTCCCCTGGGCTCGGCCTGCCCCACTGCTGCTCCCTCTCCCCAGTTCAGGTGTCTTGCCCTGGCTCTCACAGGAGATAGGTTAGGGGTAGAGTCATCTCAGTGAGCAGGGACAGAAGAGGAGGAGGAATTGGGGGTCCTGTCTGTGACTTGGACTTTCCTGACTGACCTTGAGCGGCAGGCTGATCTCTGTGCTCATAGCCTGGCGACAGGCCAGGCCTTTGGACAGGATTTGACTCCTGAGGTTTCCATGAAGTTGCATTTGGCCTGCAGGCCAGGAACGCAGTGAGGGTCCCAGGGGTCTAAGTGGACTCTGGCCCGGCCAGCCCTCCCCAGGGCCCACTGAGAACAGAACTGCTGTCTCCGCTGCGGTGAGACCTTGTGGCTTCTCCTAACAGCAGGGCAGGGCCTGGTCCCACCCTACCCCCTCCCTCTCCGCTGGGATACTTTTAGTCTTTTTCTGGATCTTTTCCCAGAGGAACCAGAGAAAAAGCCTTGGGCAGATTCCCAGGAGGCCGGTCCTGGTCCCTCCCCTGGATGGTTGGGCTTCTTGGAGAGCCTTGAGAGTAGAGAGCTAATTCTGTCCCTTAGCTTAGCCAAGTAAAGCAGAGTGACAGGTACCGAACTCCGGCTCCCTGAACCCCAGAGGGGCCAATCCTGTGAAGAAGGCTTGGGGCCTGGGAAATGACCCAGTTACTATGCCTGGGGGTCCTCCCCAGCTCCAAAGAGAACCAGATTTAGAGGTGGGCAGCAGGCCCGGGGACGCGCCAGACATGGTTCCAGGGGACCAGGCGACGTGGCCTGACGCGTGGGCAGGAATGAGTCCTGTGGCCACCGTCCCAGGACCAGAATGCTTTGAGAAGTGGACTCTCTTCTCAGACCAACCTGATGGCCAGGAGGGGTCAGAGTGACAGGAAGCCTCTGGGCTGACCCCCACCTCCAGCCCTTCATATGGGGCAGGTAGCCCTCGCCCCTGGGATCTGCCAGTCTGATGGGGACAAAAAAAAAAAAAAAAAAAAGCCAGGTCACAAACGAACAAACCCTGCTCCCAAGGGCTGAGCACCCCGGAGGAAAGAGAACAACTGCAGGTGGGTGTGTGGGGTAGGGTTGGGGGGGGGTGTCATTTCAGGGCCCCTGCAGGGTCTCCTGCCTCCCACACAGCAAACCCGGGACTTCTCCTCGGAGGAGTTTTCTTTTCAGGAAAGGCCTTCTAAAGGATGGGGGGATCATTAATCAGAACAGAGACCTGTGAAGAGGACGTCCATATACAGCTAACCCTTGCCTCAGGCAAAGCCAGGAGGTGACTGTCACTCCACGCAGAAGGAAGCTTGGGAACAGCTCGTGGGCACCCGATCTACGTGCCCTTTGAGTAGGGCTGTTAGACGGTGATTCAATTTACCAATTTTCATTAACACGTTTCTCTTCATAAACCGAAGGCTGCCTGCTGTGGCCCAAGCCTGGACTTGGGGACCGCTGCCCCTCAGCTGTGCGGATCCAACTGTCCCCCCTCACCTCTCATGGCTCCCCAAAGGCCCTTGGTTTCCAGCAACACAACAGAGCCCTGAGTGCCCGGCTGCTCCCAGCCCACCACGAGGCCAGGAGGCTCCCCAAGAGGTGGGAGGCCCCAGTATTTTGGGGGCAGAAATCCAGACCTGGAGTTCCACAGGCTCGGCTCCCTGCTGTGGGCATCACCTTTCCCCACCTGCAGGGTAGACGAGATCTGCCTGCCCTCTTGGATCCAGGGTGAAGGCTCTGGAAACTTTAGGGGACAATGTGATGCTGGCAGTGCCACACGTCCCAGCCAGGACCCCACTGCCCTCAGGACGCATAGAGTCACCATCTTGGCCTTGCTGGTGATAGCAGCATCCTTTGAGGCCTGGCTGGCTCCCTTGTGGTTGGAGTGGGAGGAAGCTGTGCCTCAGAAGACCCCAGCGTGGGCAGTGGGAGCAGGGGCTGGGGGAGGTACCTCATCAGGAATGGGGACGGCTGCCCTGCAGCGCACACGGGCAGGGCAGGACAGCACTCTGGCCCCTCCCAACATTGCTGGCTCTGGCCAGGCCCTCTGCGCCCAAGTCTCTCCATGGCTCAGGAAGAAAATAAACACAGAAGTCCCATGAGAAGACGCTGCTGGGAGTGGCAGGGTGGCCACTGCCCTGCTCTCGGGACACGATCCCCTCGGGTGGACAGCAGGCCTCAGAGGCAGGGCCCTCAGAGAGCCACCATCCCACACGAGCTGGCAGGGAAGGCCCGTGCAGGACAGCTTGGTCTGCCCCGGAGGCTGGCCAAGTGCACAGCTGTGTGACCTGGAGGTCACAATGTCTCTGGACTGAAGCAGCTGTGAGGGAATGTTTCTGCAGGGCCCCGAAGTCTAGATGCCCACGGCCCCCCGTCCAGCCCAGCTCACACAGGCCGGCCACCGAGAGCCTCTGGGGCTCTTCGCAGCTCGTCCCCTCCCCTCTCCACCTGCAAACCCCGCCTCAGACGTCTCCTCCCAGAGGCGGCTCACCTGACACCTGGATCGCTCCATCTCAGCCTTCCGCTTATTTCATTCAACACCCGTCTCACTGGTTGTCATTCTCATCGTTTTCATACATAACAGCTTCATTGAGATATAATTCACATACCCACACGGCACCCATTTAAAGGCTACAAGTCAATGTGCTTAGTCTATTTGCAGGGTTATGCAACTGTTGCCACAGACACCTTTTGGAACGGACATACAGGATGTGATCTTTTGTGTCTGGCTTCTTTCACCAAGCAGAAGGTTCCTTTTCATGGCTGAGTGGTCTCCCATTGTGTGTCCACCACAGTGTGTGTGTTTACCCAGTCCTCACTCTTGAAGGACATTCAGGGCCATTGTTGCCTACTTGTCCTCTTATCCGGTCTGACTCTCTCTTCCCCTCTAGACCAGACACTCCATGAGCGAGGGGGCAGGTCCACTTCCGCTCAGCCTCAAGGAGAGTGTGTGGCCCAGACGACGCTGGGTCAATATTTGCTGTCTGAACGAAGAGGGACAGAATCTTTGTCAGACACAGCCAACATCGGTGTGTGGCCTTCCTCCCAACACACCGTTCTCCTACCCACCTTC